AGATGTTCTTTTTTTGCCCTCCTTTTCAGAGAGAGGGTTTCACTATAGGATGCATGTGCTCACTTGAGAGACAGAGAGACAAAAAGCGAGAAATCACCTCCCAGAGGGGACAGCCATGCTGCAATCCCCTCTCCTCCATTCTCCTCTCAGGATCCTGGGAATGCATGCACCTGCGTCCGGTGTGAGTTTCAAGCCACTGAGTCCAGAACTTGAACCGTGGTTAACTATATGGGAGTCCAGTGATGCAACCACTTCGCCATCTGCTCGTTCCGGAAAAAAAGGATATCAACGAAAAGGGGGTTGAAGTGATTGAACCTGGCATTTCTTCCGCTTTCCCATCTGCTCCACAGGATCTGGGAACCTTAACAGAATCTGTTAACCTTAACAGGTTAACATTTCCCCATCTGAAAGTCTGATGTGATTTTTTTTTTTTTTTGGAGAGGTTTTCGCTATAGGGCGCATGTGCTCGCCAGACAGACAGAGAGAGACAGAGAGACAGAAAGCGAGAAATCACCTCCCAGGGAGGATGGCCACGCCACAATCCCTTCTCCTCCATTCTCCTCTCAGGATCTTGGGCACGCACACACACGCGCCCAGCGTGAGTTTTAAGCCATCAGGTCCGGGACGCGAACAGTGGTCAACTACATGGGAGTCCAGCAACATAGCCATTATGCTAACTGCTGGTCCCAGTCTGATGTGATTTTTAAAACTGGAGGCTTCAGGGCTGGCAGGTGATGTGATGGTTAAGGGCGCTGGACTCCCACATGGCCAACCACGGTTCAAACCCTGGACCTGGCAGCTTGCCTTCTCTCTATCTTTGTATCCTTCTTTGGTCAAATTAAAATAAATAAATAAAGTTCAGTAAAATAATTCTTAGAAAAAAAAAACAAAAACAACTGGAGGCTTCATGAACTTTTCTGTCCTTGACTATAAAATGTCAATCACCAGGCCCCCCTTTCACACTGTCCCTGAGGGGTTCCCACTGCTTACTTTCAATTTGGACAAGTACATCTATTTATCCTTATTCTTTGTTTTTTACCTTAAAAATAGTACACGGATCAGATTCTTCAGGACTAACTAGTAGTAAGGAGAATACCTTGTCTCTCCAGCAGTGGCGCCATTGATACTCAGTGTTTTCTGCATGTCCTACTGTGAAAACAGAAACAGACTCTGCTGCGTATCATCCAGTTGTTCAAATTTATTTCTGTTGTTTCAATACACTGACAAAACACACCACATTTTGTTTGTAACTTCTCCCTCAAGAATCACCTTAGCTTAACCCAGAAGGTTCTCATAAAGAACACATGAGACATGTGCACACAGACACACACACACACACACACACACACACACACACACACGGAAGTACAAAAAAATAACCCTACCAAAGTGCATGGGAATGAAAGTGCAACAATGTTTTTTTTTTCCAACTCTGGGGTCATTCTCTCTGCTTCAAGAAGTCAACAGAAAGGTCTCCCCTGCCCTGGGCCAGGGCTGGGCAGCGACTGGGTGAGGCTGCCAGGACCAAGGTGTAAGTGGTGCCTGCTATGGAGAGGAGGGCACCAGGCACCGGGCACCACTGCCAACTCCCGCCCCCACGGCGCTCCCAGGTCAAGGTGCAATGATCTCATTTGGGGACAGAGTAGGAGCGAAGGGGCAGTGGGAAGGGGGGGGCAGGGCAGAAGGCCGATTTCTTCTCACGTTTTTATGATTTGGTTTCTTTCCAAAGAGTCTGACGTTAGTGCAGAAAGTACTGGGGCCTAGAGTTCGGAGGCCCAGAGGCCCTTTCCTCCAAGCCCTTGGTTCATCTTGCCTTCACAGCAAGCATTAGGTGACCGGCATCGCCGCAGGGTAAAGGCCAGCCCAGCCCCTCTCCTGAGAGGCCATGGGAGTCCTGGCACCCACTGTGAGTCCTGACTGTCTTCTCTTCACACCAGTCAGGGAGCAGCTCTCGTTTTGCAGAGAAGACCAGGGATGAGTTGCTGAAGAGTTTTGCTGCCTTCCAGGCAACGAAGATGAAAGAGAAGCTTCCATCTGCTCCTCTGTACCCTTGGCCAAGGAGGCACCAATGTCACCTCGGTAAGCCCGACTCACAGCCTGTGGCAGGCCCTGCCTGTTTCCTCCCAGGAAGGTCATACTCAGAGCTGCCTTTGAAGGTGACTCCCTACGGAGCTGTGCAGGAAACCAACAGCACTCTGGGTTTCCCAAGTCTAAGGAAACAATAAAGCTTCATGTGTTAACAATAATAGCCCTTGACATTTTCCCAACATGGAGCCTCACATCTGCACTGTTGCATAAGTTTCTGAGCGCTACACTCACACGTGCACTAACACACACATACACACCTGGCTTACAAATGACAGATGGAGCCTGGAGAAGGACTCTGGGCCGGGCCTTATTAATGGCTCCTCACCACCAGGTGGGTGAGGGGCTCTGGCCCTTCCCACCCAGGCAGGGAGGCAGGTCTGGCAGTGGCTCAGTGGAGGCTAGGCTCCCACTTGAGTGAGATCTTAGAGCCTCAGCAAGGACTTAGCTGGCAGTGAGTGGTAGGAAGGGCTTGAGGGACCCATGAAATTCAAGATCAGAAAGTCTTCCTTCCCAACTTCCAACTTAGAGTGGTCTTGGAAGGCTCCGAAGAGCACATGATAAACATGTAAGGGACAGAGAGAATGTAGTGTCACAGGGTGAGTTGCTCGACAGGGTAGCCTGGCAGGTACAAGGCCCTACCATAGGCAATACCTTGTTTGAGAGCCCTGGCTGCAGAGGTGCCGTGCCCAGCTTTGGTGGCCACCATACTTGCTGGATCTGCCCCTCTAGCCAAAGACCCGAGATTGTCTGAAAAACCAAGGGTTGGTCTCCTGGCCTAGCCCACCTACCAGGCCAGGTTTGCTCCTCCTTGGGCCCAATACAGGAAGAGTGTGTGGGGAGCCTCAGCCTCTGCTCACGTACAAAGGCTGACCACCGGCTCATCCTTCTGGAGCTAGGACTTGATGTGGAACACCGAAATGCCAAGTGGCTTAGAACTGGACGTGTTTGAGAAGCTATCTTAGTTCAGAATCCTCAACTTCTGGGTAAAAGGGGGACTCCCACAGTGGGTCCTATGGCATATCTCTGAGGCACACACGTCTAACAGGGAGAGCCAGTAGGCTGGTTGAGCACAGCTGGGGACACTGCTCATAAAACCAGGCTGCAGGAGGAGAACAGCCAAGCCAGTGACAGAAGAGAAGGGCCCTCACAAATAATTATGTCTGTGGCAGGGTCACTTCTTGGCAGGAGGAAAGGAGCCAAGGAACGTACACAGAGACACCAAAAAAGGAAAGGGGACTGGAGGACTCCTGTTCTCCCGAGCTGCCAAGAAAAAGACCCTTCAGTGATTACACAAGTTGGCTAAAGATGCTGGGTGGCCAATGGCAGGGCACGGCCAACACATTCCTCTCCAGTGTGCCTGGCAGCAAGTGAGCCCCAGGGCAAGGGCCAGGACTCCAGGACTCCTCTGCTCCACCACCTGCTAGGAAGGACCAGCCCTGGTCAGACACAGAGGGTAGGGGCATGAGCGGGGGATGAGGAGCTCAAGTCAAGAAGGAGCCTCAGCTGGAAAGGAAAGCCCAGCAAGGACAGAGGGGGACCAGGCCAAGAGCCAGTCACTTTAAGGTGTCATCGGCGTTTTTGAACATGAGGATGGCATTATAGATCTTCAAGGCTGGGCCCAGCTTGACGCTCATGATCTTCACAATGTCCGCCTGTGTCAGCAAAAGGAAGGCCTCGCCGTCAATCATCTGAGGGGTGGGGAGAGGCGGAGAGCGGAGAGGGTGGAAGGGCAGTGGGGAAAGGTGAAGGAGAGGTGGGGATCCACATGGGGAGTGGGAGGGGAGAGAGAAACGGGAGTGAAGGAGGTGTTGGGTGAAGGGAAGGAGGAAGGGGTGGGCAAGAGGAAGGGCAAGGAGAAATAAGAAGGGAGAGAGAGGAAAAAAGGAAGACAGCAATGGGGACAGAGAAGGAAAGAGACAGCCACTGGTTTCCCCGTGCTCTCACACGAATTCTCTTTCTGATGAACTGAGTTGCAGTGTTTGCCCTTGTAAAACGTCTTTCGAGTCTTCATGGGTAGTGGATTAAAAAAACCATGCTGGGCCAGCAGGTGGTGTGGAGGTTAAGGTGCTGGATCCCACATGGCCGACTACATGGTTTGAGTCTCAGACCCTGCGGCCTGGAAATCATGCCAGGCCTGGGTACATGTGTGCTCAAAAATCCCAAGAGGAGAATGGGTGGGAAGGTATTGCAGCCTGGTCAGCCCCCCTTGAGGTGATTTCTCATTCCTCCTCCTCCGGGCCCCCTACCCCCCTCACCCCCACGGGTGTGCATGCCCTAGAGCAAAAAACTAAAACAAACTAAAAACCCTGCTGTTGTTCCCCACATAAACCCACTCGCCAACCTCAGCACTGCTGGTAGCGAGACCAAGCAGCCGTGTGCACTCAATGTGACACAGGGTGACGTACAAGGGCTGTCTATGAGCTAGTCAACATTTTCCTGAAAACAGAGAGAGAAAAATTGAACCTGAACCCAACTAAGCCTGTGACTCTAACTTCAGCTTATAAGAAATGTAGGGACAGAGGAACGAATTAAGTGACACCACATAGAAGCATGGAGGAGGGTACATTCTACAAGACTTTTAACATGTCATGAAAGGGGCCAGCTTCATGGTGTGGTAGTTAAAGCAGCCAGATACCACACAGCTGGCCACAAGGTTTGAGTTCTGGACCCATCAGCTTGAGAAACATGCCCAGTGCGTGTGTGTGTGTGTGTGTGTGTGTGTGCACCCAAGAGCCCAAAATCCCAAAACGAGGGGAGATAGAAAAGATTGCAGCATCAGGGCCAGCAGGTGGCTTGGTGGTTAAGGGTACTGCACTCCCACATGGCCGACCATGGTTAGAATCCCGGACATGGTGGCTTGCTTACTTACTTTCTCTCTCTCTCTCTCTGTCCCTCTCTGATCAAATTGAAATAAATAAAGTTAAATAAAATAATTAAAAAAAAAGATTGCAGCATGACCATTCCTCATGGGGAGGCTTCTCTCCTTTTCTGTCTGTTCCTCCCTGGTGAGCAAATGTGCCTTTTAGGGGAAAAAAAAAAAAAAAAAAAAGAGGCATGAAAAGGACAGGGGTTATTGTAGCATAGGAGATGTTTAAGAGACATAAAAACCAAAATCAATTATCTCAGATCCTGGCTCAAAACCAACAAAGAATACTCTGAGACGTGAGACAACAGGGACGTGTAAAACAGACTGGGTATTTGTTAGGTGACATAAAGGAGTCACTGTCAGTTTGTTGGATGGAATAACAATATTTGGGTTCTATAGAGAAAGTACTTTAGATGCAAGCTGAAGGACTCAGGGACCAAACATCATAAAAAACACCTATAACTCACTTAAAATGACTTCCTCTAAAAACAAGCGAAGTGAAGATGGAAAATGCTGACATTTGTTCATTCTAGGGGACAGCTATATGGGTGGGGTCGGGGAGTAAAGTTGTGGAGGAGAGAATGAGATGAACAGAGCTGGGGAGCAGGCTCTGGGGGCCTAGAAAAGGAAAAGACCAGCCAAGGACCTCAGTTTTGAGAAGATATTTCCCTCCTATGCTCAATCCTGAAGAATCACAGCAAATAAAACACTTGCATGTTATTTCTGGTGTCTAGGCACTGCTCTTAAGCACTTGTCATATGTTAACTCGTTTAATTCACACAATAACTCTATGGAGCAATACCAGTATTTCCCCTACTCTCTAGATGAGGAAACTGAGGCAGAGAGGCTAAGGAACTTGCCCAAGATAGGCCTAGCTTGTAAGTGCTGGCCTGTGGTCTGTGCTTTTAACCACTGTGAGTACAGGGAGGGGTCCTGTGTACAGAATTCATGCGGCTCAGTGGGTGATGCCCCCAAGCCTGGCACTGCCCCCTGTTCCACATGAACGCTCATGACACGAGCTCCTGACTGAACTGTAGGCCCTTCCCCACTCATTGGATGCCTTCTGTCCTGGACCTCTGATCCCTCTGCCGCCTCCTACCCAGCAGGCCTTCCCACCGTCAGAGTAATGAGCCCAAGTGCTTCTCCCGACATTCAGAGCTGCCCTCTCCTTCCACCTTCCTGGAGCTCACACAGCTCGACAAACTCACTGAGATGTATGCGTGTGCTCATTTGTCTTCCAGGAGCACCAGGGGCAGCCCACCTGAAGTCCCGGAAGAGTGAAGAAAAGGATCTCTGAGACTGGTGGGCAGGACTGACTCTCAGAGAGGCTGCCAACCTTAAGGTTAAATGAGTCGGAGGGCAATGAACCCCACACATCTGTCCCCCAGTAGCTCTGAGAAAACAAGTCACCTGGTCTTTCACTATCTACTAACAAAAGAAGCGCTGAAAACTGCCATTTCTGAGGCCTAAAAACACTCCCCCCAAAAAAGAAAGAAAAGCCTAAGAGCCAGAAAGTTCAAAAGAAATGATTTGCTTTATGTTTCCTTTCAGACACATTAAAATGACCACCTCAAATGAAAAGGGGCCTCCCAACCTAACGTGGTGTCTGGAGAATAACTACAGACCCGCCTGTGCTCAGAGAAACTGCCATTCCTGTCTCTCCGGTGCTTCCTTGGTCAGGAGAAGGCCTGAGATGTTGAGAGGGGATCTGAGAAGGGACCTGTCAGCCTAGTGGCCATCCTGGAGGCAACTCCTCTGGACACTAGGAGTCCTCTTTGCTGATCCTGGGCAGAGATGTCTGTGCAGAAATGCCAAGATCCAGAGAGGGGTGCTGGTCAGGTTCTGAGCTCCCTCTGGGTGGTCCCATGGAATGAGAGCATCTGGTCAGGAAGAGCTGAGGCCACCTCCCATGAGCGACCTTGGTATTTCAGAGTTGAGAATATGAAAAGAAACCTCAGAGAGTTCAGTATCGATTCTATGGGAGTTCATTTATCATCACTCAGGGAGCCCACTGGTATAGTTCCTTGTGTCATCTGAGATTCTTACCCACAGTGATTACCAAGGCCCAGCTTCCAGATTCTTCAAAGCAAGACTGGACTTCATGGTCTGGTGGTTTAAGACTACTCCAGAAGACAATGGAATGATCTCAGAAGGTGTAAGATGTTGTTGGGACCAGCAGTTAGCGTAATGGCTATGTCGCTGGACTCCCACATAGTTGACCGCGGTTCGCGTCCTGGACCCGGTGGCTTAAAACTCACGCTGGGCACGTGTGCGTGCGTGCCCAAGATCCCGAGAGGAGAATGGAGGAGAAGGGATTGCGGCGTGGCCATCCCCCCTGGGGGGTGATTTCTCACTTTCTGTCTCTCTGTCTCTCTCTGTCTGCATGGCGAGTGCACATGCCCTATGGCAAAAAACTCACACACACACAAAAAAAGAAGGTGTAAGATGTTGTACGTGTCTTGGTGTGTATGGGGAGTTTTGAGTCATAAGAGCATGAAAAAGGTCTAGTTTTTGGGACCAGCAGATGGTGTAATGGTTATGTCACTGGACTCCCACGTAGTTGACCATAATTCAAGTTCTGGACCTGGTGGCTTAAAACACATTGGGCATGTGTGCATGCATGCCCCAAATCCCAAGAGGCAAATGAAGGAGAAGGGATTGCAATGTGGCCATAACCCTGGGGGCTGATTTCTAGCTTTCTGTCTCTCTCTCTGGTGAGCTCATGTGCCCTATAGCAAAAATCTCTCTCTCAAAAAAGTAAAAGGTCTAGTTCTGACATTGAAGGTAGAGGAAATCAATAGAAAAAAGGATAAAAGGGGCCAAATGTAACCATCCACCCTAAGCAGCAGCCTGCATTGCTATGGATGGGACCAGGAGATTTCCCCAAACCAAGGTAACCAGGGTAGACTCCGAGAGAGCCACGTGTGGGATGATTGACACAGGCCAAGCTAAAATCAAATCATTCTGTCACAGTCTGATTGAGGAAGGCTGGCTCTGAGGAACAGCAGTAAAGCACTGCTCAAGAGAAGCTGAATCCTGGGACCAGCAGTTAGCATAATGGCTATGTCACTGGACTCCCATGTATAGTTGACTGCGGTTCGAGTCCCGGACCCAGTGGCTTAAACTCATGTCGGGTGTATGTGCCTGCATGCCCAAGATCCTGAGAGGAGAATGGAGGAGAAGGGATTGTAGTGTGGCCATCCCCCCAGGGGGTGATTTCTCGCATTCTGTCGCGTTCGGTGCCTCTGTCTCTGTCTTTCTGGCAAGCGCATGTGCCCTATAAAAAAAAAAAAAAAAAAAATGAGAGAGAGAGAGAGAGAGAAGCTGAATCCCACTTGGCAACCATGTGTGCAGTCTATGGCCTGGTCAGCCAGCCCAAGGCACGACGGGCACGGAAGCGAATGTCCAGGATCGGATGGGCTGGAGGACTGGGGGAAGGGGACCATGGTGTGATCAGACCCTGTGGATGCTCATCTCATTTTGTCTCTCTCTTGCACACACCCGTGTGCACATACTCTATCATGAATATAAGAGAACAAAAATCTTACAGAGGAGATTTCTATGCTGTCACAGGAGAAAGGTGTGGTGAACCAGAAGCCCAAGAAAAAGGACATGTGGTGAGCAGGAAGTTGAACAGGAGGGTGTCATTTACCTAGTTGAACCATCAGCAGAGTCCAAACGACCCTCTCTGTCCACCCTGTCCCCTAAGCTCCCACTGCACCCCCTGACACCTTGTTCAAGGCCCTTCCCACACTCTGCCAGAAGCAGAATTTTAAAATTCTGTCATCCTGAGGCCAGCAGGTGGCATGGTGGTTAGGGCGC